GCGACTGTGTTGTTGGGGGGGGGGGCGGCGAGTTGACAAGGGGGCTGGCGTTATGAAGCACACTATCATACTTCTGAATCCGTGTCCCTGGCCCTCGCCCCCACTGCCAGTAATGCTGACGTGACACAAATAAATCAGATGAATTGTACGCAAGTATGCTATATGCTCCAGGGTTATTGCAGGCAAAGGGGAAATAGAGCGCTATCAACGGGTGGCATCAGAATTTGCTCGATGGGGTTCCAATGTCACTACGGGGGTGGAAGTTGACTTCCAGAGACGAGAGCGTAAGTGGGTGTGGTCGGCTGTCAGACTAATATGACATTTTAGGGTATTATTGTAACTCTCTATGGATGTTACTAGATGAGTTCGGACTTCAATGAATGAGCCAGACACCAAGTGAGCTGGATGTTAACGGTTTTATTCTATACAAAGTGTGAGCCTCCAAGACGCAGCTTGGCTAGTCGACGAACCCCCACGAGAGAGCGAGACTCTGCGGGAACATCCCATAATAGTCCTTGAAAGTTCAAAGGTTACATTATAGGCATATTTTTTATCCGATTTAAGAATCTACTATATTCTAATATGTAAAAAGAATATATAATTTAAATTTTCTTCTCCCGACGAATTGTGTTTTCTCCCAACAATAATAATAATTATGATAATGATGATGATATGACTATGATGGTGATGATGATAATGATGATAATTATTATAAACGAACGTTATATGCATTAGGATTTCGCTGTTAAATAATTAAATAAGCATACTGCATTTATTTTATTAAATATAGAATGCTTCGGTACACCAACACAGTAGTGGTAACTGCATCCACACCTTTGATAAGAAGGTTTGTGCACCTAGAAAATGGACCATACTTGACCCATACTAAGCATGAGACACAAGAAAAGGTGAAAGCATTTGATGAAATACCAACCAGAAATGCAAATATTCTACAAGCTGTCTTTGATATGATTTACTTGAAGCGGAAAGGATTGCTAACCAGGTCTGACCTAGTGGTAGGTAACAATTTTCATTGCAAATGAGCGAAAAGAGTGATATACTCGCGGAATAGAAAGTTTGTTATCCTCACTATAATAATGGATCGCTATAGGCAGGCATTCATACTTTTTGACTCGTGAATTTAGAGCGAAGAATATATTTAACATCTGATTATCAGTAATACTGTAACCAAAAAACCTATACTAGTATTGCACTAAGTAAATAACACATTTAAAACTTGATACTTTCATGATGAAATAGAAAACATAGCTGTGTTAGTCTAGATAAACAGTGAATTGAGGACAAGCGGCACTTTTCAGACTATCGATTGACTCACGATATTTTTACCTCACAGTTGTCTTTGTCATATTATTCTGTTTAATTGTATCCCACACTATAATAATTATTTCAAGTACATAATTATGTACCTTGGATATATAAGTTAATTGATTGGTCATTATACTTATTTATTTCAATCTTGTGTTTCAATATTATTCATTACACAGCATTTATAGTTTTAGAGTAGGCTAGTAGCATTTATATCTTAGGTTAACTTCTTTTGGAAAGAATTCACTTTCGTTTGAGTATACTAATTATCAATTTACACCATTCTTTAGGTCCAAGAGAATGCTGATAAATATGGGCCAATTATGCGAAATTTCATAGGAAATCAATTCATAGTACAGATCGTGGATCCGATTTTAGTAGAGAAAGTGTTCCGAGCAGAAGGAAAATATCCACAACGCATGGATTTCAAACCATGGAAAGAGTACAGAGCCGCAAGGAAACTTCCTTTGGGATTATTTCTACAGTAAGTGCAATACAAAAATTAAATATAAAAAAATATGCCTATTATTTTTATTGTCATCATCATCATAATTATCATCATCATAATTAGGCATCATCATAATCATCATTACCACCACCACCATCAACGCCACCACCAACATCACCATTACCACCACCACACCGTCACCATTACCACCACCACCATCATCATCATCTTCCCCATCCTCCTCACCCTTATCCATCATCATCCTCATACATCACCATGTCATGATCATTATTATTATAATCATCGCAATCACCATTGCCATTCACGTCGTCCCGGTTTTGTCTGGATCTCTTTTTTGTACTAACATGATAGTGAGACTAGTTATATATTTATGGATACCGTAACAGCTTATATTAAATCTATTTATTTTGTTTTTATTTGAAGAAACACAATCAACACATTTTCTTCTATATGCAGCACATTAGAATATGCACATTCATGATAATTAATTAACAGAGATGGAGAGGCGTGGCATAAAAGCCGTCAAGCTATCGGCAAGCGTATTTTGAAACCCATAGCAATGGCACCATACCTTCCAGCAATGAAGAATATAACAGACGAAATGATTGGACGCCTGAGGAGAATCCAGATAAAAGAAGGTGAAAAGAAAGACATTATGCCAGATCTGGAAGAGGAGCTTTTTAAGTGGTCCATGGAAGGTAGGAAGCATAGATGAATAACGTGGAGTTTAACCATTGAGTTGGCTACTAAAGAAAAATTACTTCTGAATGTATTACCTCGCGAATTTTTTTGATGCCTACTGCTTTATATACCCAAGCCTGAAATTTCTATAAACTAGAAGAACATAGAATTCGCACCTGATTGATAAAGAAATATGAAAGAATTCTTCGAACACTTACTTCACAATACTTACGTATTCCAGCTCCCTGCTTATTCTAACACCAGAATATTATTCTAATATTTGATTTATTGATTCTTAGTCAAATGGGTTGTATTTATGAATGATAAATGCTATCGCATAGTGGTCATTTTATTAGTGTTATCCTTTTTCGTCGTCGAGCTATAACAATAATTGAGACCGATAGCAGCATGCTGGAAATTTTTTTCATTAGAAAAGCACATTTGTAAAATTTTCTATACAATTTATTCTATTCTGTGCAGGCGTTACAATGGTTCTCTTGGATCATCGACTTGGCCTATTGTCTGATAAGATTGATAAGCAATCACAGAGTTTCATTGATGCAACCCACGAAATCTTTGCAACCACATTGGAGTTGTTCTTGTTTAATGACTTCCACAAGCGTTTCAATACCAAATTGTGGCAGCGACATGTTGCTGCTTGGGATACATCTATTTCACTCAGTAAGCAAATTTACAGAATTATCAGTTAGTAATTATTAGTTTGGTGACTGTGGGAAAGTAATTTATGATTGTCTTATGAATTAATCCAATTAACATATATATTTTCAGCAAAGAATTTGATCCAGCATCGTGTTGAGGACTTCATGTCAGCAAAAGAGAAAGGCTCGGAAGTCAAAGAAGATACATTCCTAGGGGCTTTGATCGCCAACAGTGACCTCACTCAAGAAGAAATCTTTGGCAACTTGTCTGAGCTGATAGGAGCTGCAATCGATACGGTATTTGTTTCTCATTAATGATATATTGTAGAGTTAAATTATTTTATTAATATTATAGGAGTGATGATTTTGCCCTACCTGATGTACGAACACTCAGTACGTTCCCAAATACAAGTGATTCAGGTAGAGCAAAACATCACTCCAATGTAATTTTCCTGACGAAAACTCACATCGAAATAGTTATTAATATTAATATCATATCATTATTGTTATGTTTTTCTATGTTTGTGTCGTTTTTTTTTTTGTTTATTCTTCTTATTTTAATGTTATTTGTCGTCGTTAATAGTATTATCATCCTTGATTGTTTTTATTATTATTTATTAATATTATTATGCCTAACATAAAACGAAATATTATCGTTAACTTTACCTTAAATTAGGCACTTCATGAATTTAGTAATAGTTTCAACATACCGGTAAGTTTCTAACTGTTAAACAAGTACGCTTATAAATTGATTATTTACTTCTGTTATTGAAAGATTTCTTACATTCTCATAATGAATCCGTTTCCTTATAATGTTTGCTTTTTTTTCAAATTAAATTTCTACATTCAGTGATGATATTTTTCCTTTTTTAAAGACTTCATACACCTTTTTATGGACGTTGTACTTGCTAGCACACAATCCTGATGCTCAGGCAAAACTTCACAAAGAGATATGTGATGCCTTACCGGTCGGTAAGCAAATAACTCAAGAAGACTTGGCCAAGTTGGTGTATATGAAGATGGTGATAAAGGAAGCGTTGAGGTGTGTATAGCGTTTCATGTAAAGCATTTGTATAGCCTGTAGACTCAAACCATTTTTGCTAATGTGCAGCTTTGCCGAATGGATTTTACATTATTTATATATATTATCTATGAGAAGGGAAACCCCTAATGCGCCGCTCCTTGAGTATTCCTAGACCACTTAAAGCACAGCCTGATATTATATACAGTAATTTTATCTGTGATAACGAGTTTAATATTTCTACTAATTTTTCTTTTAATCAAAGGTGTAGCTATACGTAGGCTTATAATAAGTGGCCCCATAAATGTTATTTTGATTATTTATTGTAAATGATTTTTCAGCCTAACTAAGATTACAAATTGTTCAATTATAACGTCATTCTCTGAAAATACGAGTGACCATCTTCGTTTGCTTACATGTTTAGTTTTGGATATCAAGTCCAGCTGTACTTCGAAATGATGGGAATTTTACACCTTTAATTAACCTGCACTTGAAGTGTTTTTTGGGATGATCGGAATATCTGATAATATTAAAGCTGCCTTTAATTTGCTGAAATCAATGTCAATACAATTTGTAGCACGTTGATCTCCACTATCCATAATTCGGTTATATCCTTTGATTTTCATCACCATATAATGCGCTCAAAAAGTTACACTGACGGAATTCGTAGAGTAGATCTGGCCAAGTTTTCTTTTGTTACAGGCAAACCAAAAAGATCACAGGTCTACTTTTAAACAAGCTGTGAATACAGCAGCCCAAAATAAGTTATATACACTATGCATAAAAATCAAAGGAAATTCTGGAAAACCGTTAACGACTGTAAACGAGTTGATAACGGTAAGTAACCCTGGCCAATTTATGTTAATAAACTGACTGACTTCTTTGAATCTAAATGTAACATAAAAAATGTGATAGCTTAAAAATGCAATCTGCCACCAAAACTGTATCCAATAAGCTACGAAAATGATCTAATAATTTATATAATCTTTGTCATTTCAATAGAAAATTCGATTGGTAGTTAAACTTATTCGTAATCTCTGAAAAAAACTCTACAGCTGGCCCAGGCGGCGTCTTGACCAACCACATTTTGCAAAGTATTAACACAGATCTTTCTGATATTCTTGCCAAACACTTAACACCTGGATATATGGTGTTGTTCCAGAAATTTGTTATGGTGGTGTTATTGTACCAATTCTCAAAAAATCAAATGTTGATCCATCCCAGCCAAAAAGTTGTCATCCAGTTGTGGTCTGCAATTTGGTTTTGTCAATAGTAGAGGTACTGCAATGGCCGCTGCAACGGTTCATGATGTAATCAATTATAGCATTAACCAGGGTTCCCCGGCCCTGTCTTGGCATATTAGTCCCTCGATGTAGAAGAGATTTTGATGCTGTACCAAATGACATAAATCTTCGAGAAACTAAGTTACAATAATAGGTGATAAATGGTGGCAATGTTTGTTTTCATGGTATACAAATCTCACTGTTTTTTTATTTCCTTTATTTTTATTTATAACCACACCAACAGCGATAAAGCACCACTTACAGGGTGGATAAAATATAGGCCCAACAATATAAAAATATATGTAGAGTTAAAACATAAATGTAGAATAAAAAAACAATGCTGTTATAAAAAATATCGATATCGCCATTCTCTAAAACATTTAAATTATAAAAAGATGGCAATCGAGAAATGAAACTACGTTTACAAGTATTAACATACGACTGAAAGGAACATTAAACACACAGGGGACCGTAACCTTCTAGAACTAACATGGAGACCAAATAATTTAATAATAAAGTCAGAACTATAAAATGAGTTATCACATCTATACAGAAATAACATATCAAATAAAAGAAATCTATTTTAGGAGACAAAGGATTACATGGATACCCAAAACATTTAACAAAAACCTGTGAAATTAAAATATATTTTATCAAAACGATGTAACTAAGAATCGGAGGCGGAATTAACACAACAGTATTATAAATGAGAAGCAACTAAAGTATGTTAAAGGGTAATCATTGCACCAAGATTCTTAATGTTACGACAGTTTCTCCAAATAAGGCCGAGCATTCTATTATAGCTTTGCGAGTTACAGTATATGAGTAACATGGTTACATGGTTACAAAAAGAAAGTTTACTATTTATATTAAGTGGACATAAAATGGGCAGAAAAATCAACATTCGTGAGAAAACAAGACAAGGTGGGCTATCATTTCAGTTAATGTTTAATTTTAAATATTCTACAAAGACTTCGTAAATAGGCTATGCAAACTCTACTTTCAATGTTTTCTGTTATATGCCAATGATCTACTTTTTGCTAGTCTAACTACTACTCTCTCCTTCAAAAGTTGATCGACTTCGGTATTATATCTTTTTATGGATTATGCTTTAATCCCAGCAAAACCACTTATACCTATTTGGAAACAAACAATAAAAAACACACTAAACAGTGTGTAAATATAAATTAACATACTCTACAAAATTTGGAACCTACTCAAAGAAGGCTTATAAAAGCATCATTAAGTTTACAGAAATATTGTGAAACAACCTTATTTCTTCACATCCTAAACATCTCTAAAATATGCAATATAATAGGCCTAATGTTCTATCGATTCGGTCTCCTTCATCAGACTTTTCATAACTCTAAATCTAAAATTTTATGCAAAATTTACTTAATTGAGGCTAATGGTAACAAGGCATTTCAAAACACATTAATTGATCGGTGTTGCATTTCGACTTGTAGAGATATATTCTTAATGACAAGTACTGTAATCAATTCACGCATCAATTGAAACGGAACAGTTGCTATAAATAACCACTTGATTTGTGATAGTATTACAAATATAATGGATAATGATGGGTTCATTAGAAATGAAAACATACATTTATTCAAACTGTTGCTAAAGGAGTTTCTGGCTATGCACAAACTGAAACTGGAATTGTTTTATAATTGCAACAAATCGACATTGATCATGCGTATATAATAAATGTATGCGTATGCACAGTGTTTATTGGAATCCAACGTGATCAATGTTTCGTGAATGTTATGTAAAGACTTATAATTGTTTGTATACATTTTTTTACCTTAAATTCTTTTATTGTAATGTATTTTCATATACTTTAAAAAATTGTATTGCAACGCGTTTTCTCCTTGTTTTTTGTTATTTAGAATAAAGTTTTAAGATTGAAATTAAAGTTTCAATGCACCGATGTTATGCTGCCTTCTTGGCGAAAACTGATAAGTGCCAATTGCCCAATGACATAATGTAGCCAGCTTAACTTCAACCCATATCATCAATTAAAAATATTCAGTTTTATTGCATTCTAACAAATTTTGCTTGTGTAGTCAGTACAGAATAGTGTTGTTGGGATTTATAATGATAATCACTTGAAATAAATTAGAACATAGATCTATAATTAAGAATACTCTTTCAACAATGAATGTCTATGTGAGCTCATTGGTCAGTGGTTGACTTGCTTAATTAGATTGTGCTGCTGCAGCTACTCCTCTTTACCATTTATGTAATCGATCCCCTCTGTCAAATAATTTGTCATATTATTTGCCATACAGGATGAACCCTGTTGTCACTGGATTATCAAGAAAGCTTGAAAATGACATTGTACTTAACGGGTATCATATCCCAGCAAAGGTATGTTGTCCTCCCTCTAAACCCATACATTTTCTTACCTCAGCCCAAATGATGGTGGGGCTGAGGTAGATACACTCGCAATCTGTGAAAGTCCTTCTCTGGCCCCCTCTATATTTCAAATTCCTGGATCCGTCACCTGTAATACAAATCTTTTCAGCTCTACTTTTGAATAAAAGAAAGGATAGCTTTTACTTTTCATGTTTCTATACGTTATTTTTCATGCCCTTGTGAAAGCACTCTAATCAATTAAATTAGTCCTCTGATACCTTCAGGGGTGGGGCGCCCACCAAGAATCTGCCCCTCAATCCCGCTGGGGCCTACCACTGGGCCCGAGCAGCAAACCTGCCCTGGGGCCTACGGCCGCTCTCAGCGGCCCTGCCTGTCAGAGGCAATATATTTTTGCTGTTCGTTAGTTTGTAATTAATAAAAAAATAAAATTATTTCTGATTTTAGACTACAATTGCAGTGCAATTTTACCCAATGTTAAAAAACCCAAACTACTTTGAAGATCCATTGGATTTCCGACCCGAGCGCTGGGATCGGACGAAGAAAAACAGTAAAGATGTCAATGCATTTGCTTCAATTCCCTTTGGTTTTGGCACAAGAATGTGCATCGGTGAGTAGTCCTTCACCAAATAGTTTCAAAGGGTTTGATAAATATTCAATTTTGCAAAACTGATTGATTTATTATACTTAATTTTACTGTTAATTTTAACATGAATATTAAATTATGGATCTCTTTGTTTCAGTTTCATAGTTAGTTACATTCATATTTATATGATAGGCCATTTTGCATTGAGGAAATAAATGAACAAACAAATACAAAAACATCAAATGATGAATAAAACATTGAGAGGTTCAACGTTTAGGCCTACATCTATTTGACCAATTTCAAAAATCAAAAACATGAGAAAAATAATCGTACTATTATTTTTGCTTTGCTTTCTTCAGGTCGTAGGTTTGCAGAACAGGAGATGCATCTACTGTTAGCTGAGGTTAGTCCTTAAATTTTGTTCAGACTATCATATTTTATGTGATATGACCATATTTGGATGTAATATGACATCGCCATTCTCATTTAAGCTCACATCACACAAAATTGTCACATAATATTTGATATTGTTTACAGAGCCTTACACTAAATATTTGTCTTAAATTATATTTTCATAACCAATGACTGAATACACAACGACGGCGGTGGTGTGACGAGGACGAGGACGAAGATGATACTTTTACTCATTCATTCTTCGCAAATGCCGTAAGATATTTTCAAATGGTAGAGCAATACAGATGTAAAATACCACCTTGTAAAATTGACTTTATGGCGATTGCAGTTTAAGAATATAATTCTTAATGCGAACCAGTGGCAACACTCATAAGCATAAAAAAGCAATAACAATTCAAGTTGAACAATATTGTAATGCAAACAATGATAATCCACTCAACACTCAAACAAATAATATATTAAAAAGATTATTTTTTTAACAAGCAAGAACATTTTTAAAAAGCATTCATAAAATATGAGTTTTATCAGCAATTTAAAACTAGCAACTCAACGCTGCAGCAAGGCATTCCAGAGCTAGGGACAGCCTATAGAGTATACAGTGTTACGTGATAATACTGGATTAACGCACAACACCACCCCAGATTAGCGTATGCCACGGAGTTATGACAGTCACACATCAGTGATTTTGAACTCGGCCAAGATTTGACCAAAAAAAATAAGCCTAGGTACAGAAAATAAAATGTACGAATACGAATATTTCGCGCAAATACTTACGCTAGCGTTCGTTAATCGCACAGTCTGGATATCTTGCTAGTTACGCCACGGATTAGTGTACGCCCGGCACGCCTGGCGTATCTCTCAGGTCTGAACGTAGCGTGAGGTGTTAATCCCGACACTGACTGCGCCCGACGGTCGTCGGCCGACATGATTTTAAGGTATAGATTACGGAATGCCATGACTCTCACACAACGGATCGTTTTTAATGCCACACCACCGACAATACCGACGTATCACTTTTGCTATGCGAGTGCTCTATCTTGTATTTCTAGTATCTTTGGTCCTTTTGTTGAATTGCCTTGCTTGTTTAACCACTACATAAATGCACATATATTATTAATAATATATCTTTTTTTTTTGTTAAAAACGATTGACAATATTATTATCTTGCAGATAATACGCCAATTCGATGTAGTGCCAACTAAGACAGTTGGCATAACAACCAAACTTGTGGTCATTCCAGATGAGCCGGTTGATCTGAAATTTATTGACAGACATTAGGGAAAAAAAACTCTAAAAGCAACTCTGTAATGTATATACCACAGCAATATTTTAAAGAATTGGACTAGAAAAAAAAAACATTGTATCTGTAACGAAAGCCTGCCATATTGCAATACAAATAATAATTTATATCGAATTGAGAAGTAGTAAATATATTAAACAACCAATTATGATTTACAATTGCTTATGCGTTCTTGTGCGTAAAGGTCCATTCATTGCCTCTTACACGCTTGCTGGATTTGCTCAACTCGGGTCAGATGTCTCCGAAGATGGAGGGCGATATCCCCGACGAAGCCTCTGGAAACGATGACATTTCGTTTAGTCACTCTAAGATAAAGGATATCTTCTCACAAGATTATCGAGTGATTCAGTTATTTTTGGATAAGCATCATAAATCATAAAATTCATAGATTTGATAGAGTGTGAAAATGTATTACAATTTCTCTAAATACACAAGTGAATGCATGGTATATTTCGTATTTATTTCTGTTTTAATACAGCAATAAACACATCAGTTGAATTACGGCTTGTTGATAGCCGGAGCTAATGGACGTCTGCTGTCGAGTCGTTCATTACATAATTTTTTACAAAACTTTTTTTGGTCTCAAAGGTTTTGCTTACAATAATTATAGCAGTTATAATATAAAAATAATTGTACTTAATATAGCAATTGATTAAACTTTTTTTCCTGGATTAGATGTATGTGTAACCACTGTAAACGCTAATTCCCATCAAGCTCTACTATTTTCTTCATTTTTTTCTCTTTTTTTGTGATGGCGTTACAAGAATCAGGCGTACTTGCCTTTAAAAGGTTTTATCCTTCTTGGGCTTAATAATGTAAATAAATTTTATTTCTAGGATAAGAAGCTAGTGGTTGTGTCCTGTAAGCTTGTACGTTACAAACCGTGTACGTTGTGTAGGCCTATAAAATATGCAAAAAAGGAAACAACTAAAATTGTGAAAACCTAATTTTCCAGTGCCTGAAGTAATCCATATATGCGGCTGCCATGCCAAAGCAGCAGTGACCAAAACAGGAAAATTGATTGTTTATATATCCATTTTCTCCACATTATAAGCTTTAAAATGATAATCCAGTTATTGGAATCAACTTACTTTTGCCAACGTTATGAGTAAATGTATTACAGCTTTTATGAAGGCCTACTAAAGTACAGTACGCGCTACTGCCGCATTCCTATGCATTACTGAGCGACAAAACGCTGGGTTTCGCATGGCAAGCCTCATATTTAATACTTATATAAGAATGAAAATATATTGTTCACAATTGCTAATATTTTATTATTTTAAGACCTACCTTGGTTTAACACAGGAGAGATAGGATTTATCAATTCATGCTTTTCTCAATACTTCTGAGCATGTGCAGAACTTGCCTAAAGACAACAAAATGCACCAACTAGTATAGTTAGTTAGTTCATGCGTGCAGTGCGAGATCAGCGAGCTTCCTATCCTGGTACAGTTATAAGTCGCCTTCTCCTTCTTCTTGCCTAGCTGTCGCCGTCATCATATTGTCGATTTTGCTATAATGAGCTTCCATGCAGGACAGACTCGCTTATGCTTTAGTTCCATAAAAATTACGATTTTTTAAATAGGTGTATCTTTATTATTTATTTTTTATTTATTTAATAAAATCCTTGTATGAACAGCACGCCGACGAGTTTCAGGCACCAAGGTATTTGGAGTGCCCTGAGTTATATACGAGTTACACACGACATTCCAAAATTGACCATAAAGCAGTTTTCTTATATTTATTTTTAATTTTGCAGTATTCATTCAAATGTAAAAAAAAATCGTGATTGAATTAAACTTGTGGTCAATTTTTTATCATGTTCAAAATTACTGCTACGAATTCAGCGGTTTTACGACGAGCAGCTGCAAGTACGGAGTTGGCAACTTTACAAATTCCTCACAAAAAAAAAATCGGGGTGAGGAAACCATCTCCTCAGTGATGGCGCCAGGACCTGCCTGACGGAGGGGCATAAAGGCCCCGACGGGGGGGGGGGCTAGTGGAGCGAATCGAGTCTCACTTATCTGGGGCCAGGGGGCCGCCTAGGCCCCCGGTGGGGTGCAGGGAGGGAAGCCAACTAT